TATATAGGGGAGAAAGAGAGGGAAGAGGAAAAGTAGCCGTTGGGGTTTAAGTTAACCGGGCATCTGAGTGTATGTAGGGTTTTTGTCTTTTATTTGCCTTTGAAAATCCAACCACGGCTCCATGTCCCAACGGTTATATTTTGGTTGGCATTGGTAGGGGTTATTATTACTTTTCAAACATGAGTCTTTAATTTGGTATCGAAGTACTAAAATCTTGGACCAAATTGTGCCCCAATCATGCAAAGCGACTAAACTATGTGTGTGATGTAAGGTGTGACTAAACTGTGTGTGCTGTTAGGAGTGGAAACTTTTATGTGCAGACGCGTTTTAAAGCCTAAAAGAAAAATTCAAAAAGGACAATATCTACTAACAGCAAATCTGAGCCCTACACCGAACGATGTGACAGCCTTCTCGCTTTTCTCTGGGCAGAGATGAACCAATGTGCTAGTAATGACGTTGGACCTCAGAGGATGAGCCAACCTTCTCACTGTTCTCCGAAAGAGTAGACATGAGTCAATGTGTTAGTAAGGACGTTGAGCTCCAAAGGATGGATTTTGAGGTGGTCCTACGTCGATTGGAGGAAGGAGGAAGGAACGAATGTTAGCAAGGACGTTGGGTTCTAAACAGATAGATTCTGATGTCCCACATTTATAAAGGATGAAAACTTTCCTTTAGAAGATACGTTTTAAAGCCTTTAAGGAAATTCTAAATAGAAAAGTTCAAAGAGGACTATATCTGCTAGCTATATGGTTTATAGGGTTCAAATTAAAATTTGAACCTGAGGTAACCTAAACCAAAACTGACCATATCTAATATAAACGAATTGATAATTTAAAATGACCCAATATGATAATGTGAAGAAGACGAATCAAGCCCAAATCCAACATATAGGAACGAATGACAATAAATCATATTAAATTTGAAATGATAAAATTTGATACACTAAAGTATTTATTTATATGGTATTATAATATAGTATAGCGTAAGAGGATGAAATACACACAAACACATGCAAAATATATCATATGACAGCCACTATACAAAAGAAAGCCCTTGAAAAAAGGAACATAGACCGGAAACTATAAAACGAAACGGTCAGCGACCAGGTTGTCGGCTGATATTATCATTCTTGGATCTGTTCACATAAACCATGTAGCCGATTCCGAGGGCGACCACGCCTGCTACCGCCATCGTTGCGTTGCTGAAAGGAAGGTTCCTCTTCTGCCCTAAAACCGTCCCCGTCGTCTTCCTCGATGCGTCGTCGTTTAACGCCATCTCTCACACCTCTCTCTCTCCTATTCCAACTATGCGTTCTGAGGAGGTTCTCGTTAATAAAGAGACTTACGAATGGTTTTGAGTACGGTTGCCCTGCCACGTTTAAGCCCTGTCATCATATTTACAGCTTTCTTTACGCCACGTATTCTGCACCTAAAGTGTTCCTGTTTCCACGTGTCTCACATTTTTCTAATTATTTTTTTTAGTTTATATTATAGAAAAAGATTTTATCGTCTATATGGACTTCAGTTTATGGGCCCCCGAATGTTTTAAATTTGGGGCCCGATATTCAATATGTAATTAAACTTTTAATTTATTTTTTATTTGATCCCTAACAAATTTTATTAATGTTTATTTTTATTTTATCTTTAAAATCTCAATGGTCAATTTTTTTAATTAATTTTATTATTGATGTAAAATTAATAAAAATTAATTTAATTATAGTTAATCAATAAAAAGTTAAAAAATGTAATCTTTTTAAATTAAGAGATAAAATAAAAAAGTAATTTAAATATATTTATTCAATCCACATCAGATACTACATATAATAATACACCATTTACTTAAAAGGAAGATTCTCTTTCCTTTACAAAAAAAAAAAAAAAAAATGATAATGTAAAGAAAAATATTTTATTTGGATATTTAAATAAATAAATAAAAATTGTGAAAGGGCAGTTGTGGAAGTAAGAATTAAGCTAACAGTAAATAGATATTATATTTTTTGGAATTTATCTTCAACTTCTTTTCCATAAGGTTTTAAAACGCGTCCTAGACGAACACGACTCTCCACAATGATATGATATTGTCCACTTTGAGCATAAGCTTTCATGGGTTTGCTTTGGGCTTCCCAAAAGGCCTCATACCAATGGAGTTAGTATTGCTCACTTATAAACCTATGATCATTCTCTAAATTAGCCGATGTGGGACTTTCATCATCCAAGACATAGTATGAATGACAATTCGAACTTAGATTTTCTTCCTATTTGTATCAAACTAATTTGGATTTCTAAAACGCCCATATTTGATCGAATAGTACCCCAAGGACTAAGTAGTTCGACCTAAACCCGTGTTGCATGTTAGGCTCGTAATCCTTGGCAGCTTTAACCTTTGGACTCCCTCATAGATAATAATATAGTAACTAAAGGTGGTTGGTGGGTAGCATGAAGTGTTTGTTATATAAAGAGTATGAAGCCAGGAGAGAATATTCAAAATAAATTGGCTTTTAGACATATTATTATAGAGAGAAAATAAAAAAATAAAAAAATAATAATAAAAACAAAACATTTTAATCTGAACATATCAATATGGTCCCCTCACACACACTATCACCATTATAACATTTGGCCCCTTTTTTCCAATTTAATTTTCGAATTTTAATCACATATATCTCAACCTTTTCAATTATTATCCTTTTTTTTTTAATTTTTTTTAGAGCTCTCTACACATGGGTGTCACTCAAAGACATTTTACACAGTGGAAAAATATTGTAATTTAAATATTTAAATATCATAATTTTAAAACGCGTCCGTTAGGAAAAGTTTTCTATACCCTTATTTTAATTTAAAAACTTACAGATAAATTTCAGTATCGACATAAATAATGAATTGACAGAGATCAATCGATTATTGATTATGGGGGCTGCCATGGTCCATTATTTAATTATCTGTTTAATTACAAATCTTAATCTTTCATTTATTACGTTGGGTAGTTTTTTTTTTCCCCCTTTTTTATTACAAAAAAAAAAAAAAAAAAAAAAA